GTAGTTTGTGTTCGAAGGACGGGCATACCAGTACAAGGTCCTGCCCTTCAGGCTGTCCCTGTCTCCCCATGTCTTCACGGAAGTCGCGGAGGGGGCTCTTGTTCCCCTCAGAGAGCAGGATGTTCGAATCCTCAACTATCTTGATTAATTGCTTATACTAGCACAGTCTCGAGATCAGTTGTGCGAGCACAGGGACCTGGGGCTCCGGCGCCTCAGCCTGTTGGGTCTTCCAGGCAACTGGGAAAAGAGCAAACTCTCTCCGACGCAGAGGATCTCTTTTCTCGGTATGGAGTTGGATTCGGTCGAACAGACGGCACGCCTCACAGAGGAACGTGCACGGTCGGTGCTCATCTGCTTGAATTCATTCAAGGGCAGGACAGCGGTCCCACTGAAACTATTTCAGAGGCTCCTGGGGCATATGGTAGCTGCAGCGGCACTTACACCGCTAGGGCTATTGCATATGAAACTGCTTCAGCATTGGCTTCATGGCTGAGTCCCGAGGTGGGTGTGGCAGCGCGGCACTCACCGGGTCCAAGTTACACCGGCCTGTCGACAAACCTTCACCCCATGGTCAGATCTTACGTGCCTTCGGGCAGGAGTGCCCCTACAACAGGTCTCCAGGAATGCTGTGGTTTGCACGGATGCCTCCACCACCGGCTGGGGGGCCACGTACAACAGGCACACAGTGTCGGGGGTTTGGACGGGTCCCCATCTGCACTGGCATATCAATTGCCTAGAGTTGTTAGCAGTGCGCCTTGCCTTGAACCGTCTCAAAGGGCGCTTATGGGGCAAGCACGTGCTGGTCCGAACGGACAACACAGCGACTGTTATGTACATCAAACAACAAGTTGGTCTGCGCTCCCATCGACTATCGCAATACCTCCTCCTTTGGAGTCGGAAGGTTCTGATGTCACTTCGTGCCATTCACATTCCGGGACTGCCTCGAGCTACGCTCCCGGGAGAGTGGCGACTCCATCCCTAGACGGTCCAGCTGATTTGGGGATGTTTCGGAGCCGCTCAGGTAGACCTGTTTGCCTCTCCAGAAACCTCTCACTGCCAGTTGTTCTACTCCCTGACCGAGGGAACACTCGGCACTGGCACACAGCTGGCCGCGGGACCTGCGCAAATATGCGTTTCCCCCAGTGAGCCTTCTCGCACAGGCGCTGGGCAAGGTCAGGGAGGACGAGGAGCAGGTCCCACTTGTGGCGCTGTATTGGCCCAATCGGACCTGGTTCCCCGAACTAATGCTCCTCGAGACAGCCCCTCCCTGGCAGATTCCTCTCAGGAAGGTTCTACTGACTGGGGCACCCTGTGGCACCCGTGTCCAGACATCTGGAAACTTCATGTCTGGTCCCTGGACGGGACACAGAGGTTCTAGGTAGTTGACACCATCACTTCAGCAAGAGCACCGTCTACGAGACACGCTTACGCCTTGAAGTGGAACCTGTTCGTCGAGTGGTGTTCTTCTCACTGAGAAGACCCCCGGAGATGCCCGATCAGGGTCGTGCTTTCCTTTTTGCAGCAAGGGCTGGAGCGATGGCTGTCTCTCTCCACCCTTAAAGTTTATTTCGCTGCGATTGCTGCTAACCATGACCCCGTGGAAAGGAAGTCGGTAGGTAAGCATGACCTGGTCATCAGGGGGGCGAGAAGGTTAAATACTTCCCGGCCCCCCTCCATACCCTCTTGGGACCTGTCTCCAGTGCTTAAAACACTTCAGCAGGGCCCATTTGAGCCTTTGCAGTCAGTCGAGCTAAAGTTTCTTTCAATGAAAACCCTGCTCCTACTTGCACTGGCCTCCATCAAGAGTGTAGGGGACCTGCACACATTTTTGGTCGGCGATTTGTGTCTAGAGTTTGGGCTGGCTGACCCCCAGGTAATCTTGAGGCCCCGGCCCGGCTATGTGCCCAAGGTTCCCACTACTCCCTTCAGGCATCAGGTGGTGAGCCTGCAAGCGCTGCCCCCGGAGGAGGCAGACCCAGCCCTAGCTTTGCTCTGTCCCGTCTGATTCTTGAGATGCTTGTTTAGTTACTCCCAGGTAATCTTGAGGCCCCGGCCCGGCTATGTGCCCAAGGTTCCCACTACTCCCTTCAGGCATCAGGTGGTGAGCCTGCAAGCGCTGCCCCCGGAGGAGGCAGACTCAGCCCTAGCTTTGCTCTGTCCCGTCCGAGCCTTGAGATGCTCGTTTAGTTACACTCGAAGTAGATTGGTCTCTCGAAGCGAGATCCCAATTCGTCGGTCACGACGTGACGTCTCCGTTCCCTCCTTCAGGGAACGATGGTTACATACGTAACCGAGACGTTCTGTGATCAGTAGTAAAAACTGCTCCAACCGAAGGCCAGAGGGCGCTCTTGTGCTGAAACTCCAAATTTGCCTGCAGAAGAAAGAAAATGCAAGAAATCTGTCAATGGAGCTGAATAAACAGAAGATTAAACTGCTTTAATTTATTTAACGTGACTAATAAATAAACTATGACAATATATGGTTTATCTGAGTTCCTCTTATTATAATATTCATTATAATAATGTATATGTATAATGTGATGCTAATCGACATAGCCTTTATCACTGCATAGAAAACTATGAAATAATATGTTGCGTGTTTTATTCTGTGTAAGAAGCCACATCATCTCACAGAAGGATTTTATTTCAAACACTGGACTGACGTTATGAAGTGAGTTTGGAGTAAAAACATAGCAAATGTTGTCTTTTGTTGGAGAAGATCATAAATGCTTCATAAATGCTTTGCATGTTTGAAAGAAGTTTGACACGTGTTGCTTTTTCAAATATATGTTACAAGCGACTCAAACTCACAGTGCTTTCAGATAGAGCAGCAATTACGCATGCCCTTCAGGAGTGTGTCAGACAGACAGCACGAGACCGCAACGAGTTGTTTTCTGTAACTTATTGTACTTAATAACTCATTTTAACGCCAAGCAAGTCATGCAAGGAACTTTTCGCAACGTTTAGAAGTAGCCTATTATTAAAATAATAATTCAGATATCGCATGCCATTGCGATATGCATATTGCGATATGTACATTTGCGATATTTCGATAATTTTGATATCATGCAGCCCTAATCTAAAGAATATTTTTCTGCTATAAAGAACATTTTGTGCAATGGAAAGTTTCCATGGATGTTAAAGGTTCTTCATGAAATCATAGATGCCAAAAATGAACCTTTATTTTTAAGAGCGTATCAACTGTTAACACACACAGCAGATTCTGTCATTCTGCAGTCCCATTTTCTATTGTTCAGCAAATCTTTGAGGTCAAAATTTTGTAATTTCCATAGCAGGCTTTCAAAAGTAAGGATTTCCTCAAAGATGCTGCAAGAGCTTCATACATCGGTAGGTTATAAAAATGACAATGAACAATATTTATTCTTTCATGTCCACACAATTTTGCTAATGTGGCTGTACCTTTAAGACAATGTAAACATCAGTGCCAAAATACCAGTAAACTCTGTGATGTTAGTTGCTTTAGTGCTTTCGTTTCAGTTTTGTCCAATTTGTCAAAATCTTAAGCATTAGCTCCAAGTGATAGTTCTGTAAACAGTGTGGAGTAATTGTGTTATCTCTGTCACAATGTTAGAATTGATCCAAAGCAGATAACAGTGCATTCTGACTTTGTACATGCTCATCTGGAATCTTATGCTTTGTTCACACATAGCTTCAAAAATTGGCATTTTACTAGTAATTTTACAATTGATCATCTTAGAAAATTGCCTGTTCACACATGATCTTAAAATGGTAATTTACCAGTTATTTTCCGTCAAAGGTTGTACGTGTGAAAGCTCCTCATTGTTTCCCCCTTACCTTCATTCTTTTTCCTCCTCTCTTTTTTTCCTCTTCTCTTTCTTATGCTCCTCTCTGCTTATTTTTTCTTCACTGTCCCTTTCACTTTATTGTTTATTACTTTATTCCTTCTTTTTTCCTTCCATCCTTCCTGCCTTCTTTCTTATTGCATTGCTTCTTCCTTCTATCCATCCATTCTTTCTTATTTTTTTTCCTTCACTGTCCCTTTCCTCCATTCAGGGATTTTTTTCCCCTTCCTTCCTTCATATGTATGTTATTTTCCATCAACCTTTTTTTTGTCATGTTCCTTTCCACTCTACCTTCAGGTGTCTCTCATTGTTTGTGTATTGCACTGTACATTCAGTCTTTCTGTGTCCACTTCCTGTCTTTTTTCATTACCTGTTTTTTTTCTCCTTGAGGTTCCTCTGACCTTGCTCTCTCCCTTAGTCCCTCTCAACTCATATTTGAGGGTGTGTAAAAGAAGGAAATATGTAATTGCATTTGTGAAAGTCCAATTAAATAACCAATAGAGCTTTTATGAAGGCCAGGGGAGGGGGTAATATGCTTCATATAAATACCTTCACCTGTCAAATTATCCTCTGCCATCTATCATACGTCATATTAAGAGACTTGTTAATAGATGATTTAATTTAATAAACTGGATTGTATTTAAGACTGTTAACCCCTTAAATGCTCATTCCAGTTTGATGGTGATTCTAGTCTAGTATATGATCAACTCTATTGTAACATATAGCATACATTAAGACAACTTTAAAAGCACAAAGCCCATATTAGATTGCTTGGAAAATAATTTTTAAACTCATCTTTTTTAGTACCACAGTGAAGACAAATCAGTAAGATGTTAATCTTTATAAGTTTACCCTCCTGTCTCACATGCATCAATTTAGTCTTATGGATTCTTAGAGTTTGATATACAGCAAATCGTACTGACCCTGCCAAAAACACTTGTTATTATGCCTGAATCAGATTGCACATTCATTAGGCAATGTCATATTTCTGCCAATACTGCATCTAGCTTAGGGCTCTGTGATCTTTCTCAACAAGCAAAAACACCCACCACAAACAAATAACATAATGCAACACTCTTGTTTCAGTTATTGGATGTTTTATGAATATAACGATTCCACTCTGTTTTTCTATTTTCTCATAATGGTTTCTGCTCTCTGTGTTGATCTTCTGTCTTAGCTTTGTCTGACTCTGCTGCCCAAGGCAAGTTATGCTTTATTTAATTTACCACATCACTACATTTTCTATTTAACCATATGTACTTATATTAAGCCAATGGCTTCATGTGTAATTTCTGATTGTTTTCCATCAGATGGAAAAGAGAAGGGATTGGAACCATTTGTATATGGTAAGAATCAATACTTACAAAAGCTTACACAGGTCAATATTTACTTACATAACAAGGATTATGTCACTGTATAAGGAACATGCTTCTCAAACAGCAGGAACCCAAAGATTGGAATAAAATTGGTATTTTGGCATCCATCACCTTTATAGTCAAACTTCGGATACAGTCATATTCATCTGCACCTTCAGAATGCAATTACACCCTGATGCATCTAAATGAGATCTAAATTAGATTTTTTTTATTCATTTACAGTATTTACAGTAACAAATAAAAGTATTTTGATAATCTCCAGAAAACTATTTAATATCTGAAAAATAGCAAATAGTCCTTTGAAATTGAGTGACTTGACTAAATATATTGTCTACCAATAGGTAGTTGGTGCAAAATACAGGTCAAAGTGGGCTTCAAAGCCTATCCACCCAAACCACATTTGCAGCATGCGACCACATCGCATTTGTAGTGTAAACACTAATACTTCTTGATGCATCTTAGGCAACTGTGAAGGACCGCCTACTCACCTGTCAATCAACTATGTGGTTAAACAAGGATCAAAATACCAGGTGTGAATAGGGCCTCAGTAAAGTCTCACAAGTAAAAAAGATCACATCAAACATGTGGTCATCACTCACACTCCTTTGGAACTTCAAGATGATACTATAAAGAAACAAAAGATTAGAAGAGAAAGAGAAAGTTTGTAAAACCACTTCAATTGCAGATACTAGCTACATCAAGCTGTTTAACCAGACAAGAAGAGCAGCTGTCAGGGAAGAAACTAAGAGGCCAATGTCTCACTGACAGCTCCAGAGCTCTTTGGCTGCCTAGACATCAACAACCACTTCAGGACTTAACAGGTTTGGCCTCTTTTGGAGAGTGGCTAGAGGCAAGCCACTTCTGAGTGACTCCACAATTTAAACATCATGCCTTGAGTTTTCCAGAAAGAAAAATGTCTAGGTTATGTATGTAACCCTCGTTCCCTGAAGGAGGGAACGGGGACGTTAGATCAGAACAGACTGACAAATGGGGTCTCGCCCGAGAGCCCAATCACCTTTGAGTGGTAACAGAACGAGCTAATGGTACGCTGAGTACCTTGGTCTGAGAAATTTGCATTGCGACCTCCGCCCCGCTGTGTGGGTATATAAGGAGCAGCGGAGGGGGTAATATGCTTCATATAAATACCTTCACCTGTCAAATTATCCTCTGCCATCTATCATACGTCATATTAAGAGACTTGTTAATAGATGATTTAATTTAATAAACTGGATTGTATTTAAGACTGTTAACCCCTTAAATGCTCATTCCAGTTTGATGGTGATTCTAGTCTAGTATATGATCAACTCTATTGTAACATATAGCATACATTAAGACAACTTTAAAAGCACAAAGCCCATATTAGATTGCTTGGAAAATAATTTTTAAACTCATCTTTTTTAGTACCACAGTGAAGACAAATCAGTAAGATGTTAATCTTTATAAGTTTACCCTCCTGTCTCACATGCATCAATTTAGTCTTATGGATTCTTAGAGTTTGATATACAGCAAATCGTACTGACCCTGCCAAAAACCCTTGTTATTATGCCTGAATCAGATTGCACATTCATTAGGCAATGTCATATTTCTGCCAATACTGCATCTAGCTTAGGGCTCTGTGATCTTTCTCAACAAGCAAAAACACCCACCACAAACAAATAACATAATGCAACACTCTTGTTTCAGTTATTGGATGTTTTATGAATATAACGATTCCACTCTGTTTTTCTATTTTCTCATAATGGTTTCTGCTCTCTGTGTTGATCTTCTGTCTTAGCTTTGTCTGACTCTGCTGCCCAAGGCAAGTTATGCTTTATTTAATTTACCACATCACTACATTTTCTATTTAACCATATGTACTTATATTAAGCCAATGGCTTCATGTGTAATTTCTGATTGTTTTCCATCAGATGGAAAAGAGAAGGGATTGGAACCATTTGTATATGGTAAGAATCAATACTTACAAAAGCTTACACAGGTCAATATTTACTTACATAACAAGGATTATGTCACTGTATAAGGAACATGCTTCTCAAACAGCAGGAACCCAAAGATTGGAATAAAATTGGTATTTTGGCATCCATCACCTTTATAGTCAAACTTCGGATACAGTCATATTCATCTGCACCTTCAGAATGCAATTACACCCTGATGCATCTAAATGAGATCTAAATTAGATTTTTTTTATTCATTTACAGTATTTACAGTAACAAATAAAAGTATTTTGATAATCTCCAGAAAACTATTTAATATCTGAAAAATAGCAAATAGTCCTTTGAAATTGAGTGACTTGACTAAATATATTGTCTACCAATAGGTAGTTGGTGCAAAATACAGGTCAAAGTGGGCTTCAAAGCCTATCCACCCAAACCACATTTGCAGCATGCGACCACATCGCATTTGTAGTGTAAACACTAATACTTCTTGATGCATCTTAGGCAACTGTGAAGGACCGCCTACTCACCTGTCAATCAACTATGTGGTTAAACAAGGATCAAAATACCAGGTGTGAATAGGGCCTCAGTAAAGTCTCACAAGTAAAAAAGATCACATCAAACATGTGGTCATCACTCACACTCCTTTGGAACTTCAAGATGATACTATAAAGAAACAAAAGATTAGAAGAGAAAGAGAAAGTTTGTAAAACCACTTCAATTGCAGATACTAGCTACATCAAGCTGTTTAACCAGACAAGAAGAGCAGCTGTCAGGGAAGAAACTAAGAGGCCAATGTCTCACTGACAGCTCCAGAGCTCTTTGGCTGCCTAGACATCAACAACCACTTCAGGACTTAACAGGTTTGGCCTCTTTTGGAGAGTGGCTAGAGGCAAGCCACTTCTGAGTGACTCCACAATTTAAACATCATGCCTTGAGTTTTCCAGAAAGAAAAATGTCTAGGTTATGTATGTAACCCTCGTTCCCTGAAGGAGGGAACGGGGACGTTAGATCAGAACAGACTGACAAATGGGGTCTCGCCCGAGAGCCCAATCACCTTTGAGTGGTAACAGAACGAGCTAATGGTACGCTGAGTACCTTGGTCTGAGAAATTTGCATTGCGACCTCCGCCCCGCTGTGTGGGTATATAAGGAGCAGCGCGAGCAACTCGCATTCAAGTCTTCCCTGAGGAGCCGAGCCATGTGACCCAGCCGCGGAACAGCAATTGTGGCAAAGGGACGTAACGTCTCCATTCCCTCCTTCAGGGAACGAGGGTCACATACGTAACCTAGACATTCCCTTTCAGTCGGTCACGTTCAACGTTACATCAGAACAGACTGACGAATGGGGTCCCTTCCAAAATACCACAATGGCTGTCTTCCAGTGACCTGCGTAAGTGATAGCACCCTGTCGTGAGGCCAGCACGAGCAAAGGGCTATACCTAACACAGAATACACTAGGTAGCATATTCCAGCTGGAAGTATGCTGACAGGATGCCTGCTCGTAAGAGGTCTTACAAAGCACAAATCAACCAACATAGTGGTGATACATATGAATCTCTGAGGTACCCAGCCTGCAGGGTGGATATGGTTCAACGTCAGAGATGGCTAGGGTGGCTTGCCAAGGGAAAGACACATGCTGCCGAGAGAGACTTACTGTGGAAATACACATGTGGGATTGCCCAAGAGGGGAATCACAACATATGGAGGCACTTAGTCTAACACAGGGGCTGACTGACAGGGCATGCACGCACATGCACTACACAACAATGCTGGAGGAACCCAGGGTTCTGAACTGTGGCACTCACCTGAGGAGAATAGCGCACACATCCAGTCCGTGGAGTGGAATGGTGCAGCAAGCGAATTGACACCAAGCAGGTCCTGTTTACTGGCCCGATGGGGCAAGTATACGGGAGAACACGGGTTCTACATGGAGATAACAGAATCTCGCAAAAAGCCCGCAGCTCTACAGATGTCTGTTAGCGAGGCGCCATGCGCCAGCACCCAGGAGGAAGCCACACTCCTAGTTGAGTGAGCTCTCGCCCCTAGGGGGCATGGCAGGTATTGAGCCTGATAAGCCAAGACAATAGCATCCACTATCCAGTGGGATAGCCTCTTGGAGACAGCCTTTCCCATCTGCTGGCCTCCGTAACAGACAAAGAGCTGATCTGAGGTCCTGAAGCACTGAGTTCTATCTACGTAAGTGCGGAGATCACGTAGTGGACAGAGCAGCGCCAGGGCTGGGTCTGCCTCCTCCGGGGGCAGCGCTTGCAAGTTCACCACCTGATCTCTAAAGGGAGTGGTGGGAACTTTGGGCACGTATCCAGGCCGGGGTCTCAAGATAACATGAGAGTTGGTTGGCCCGAATTCCAGGCACGCTTCGTCAACTGAAAATGTCTGCAAGTCCCTGACCCTCTTAACCGAAGCCAAATCCGTCAGGAGTGCAGTTTTTAATGATAAGAATTTTAACTCCACTGAAAGCAAGGGTTCGAAAGGAGCTCTCTGCAGTGCGGATAAAACAACTGTGAGGTCCCAAGAGGGAACTTGTTGAGGGCGAGGCGGATTGAGCCTCATGGCTCCCCTCAGGAACCTGGTGATCAGGTCATGTTTTCCAAGAGACTTACCATCAACAGGATCACGGTGAGCCGCAATGGCAGCCACATAGACCTTCAGGGTGGAAGGAGACAGCCTTTGTTCCAACCCTTCTTGAAGAAAGGAAAGCACTGACCCGATCTGGGATTTCCAGGGGTCTTCTCAACGTGAAGAACACCAAGTGACGAAGAGGTTCCACTTCAGAGCATAGGCATGTCTGGTAGATGAGGCCCTAGCCGAAGTGATGGTCGCTACCATCTGAGGTGGCAAGGTACCAAAACCTTCTGTGACCCATCCAGAACCCACACATGTAGGTTCCAAAGATCGGGACGTGGGTGCCAGAGGGTACCCCGTCTCTGAGAAAGAAGGTCCTTCCTCAGAGGGATTGGCCAGGGAGGGGCTGTCGCGAGGAGTACAAGTTCGGAGAACCAGGTCCGGCAGGGCCAATAAGGCGCAACCATGAAGACCTGCTCCTCGTCCTCCCTGATCTTGCACAACGTCTGTGCAAGAAGGCTCACTGGGGAAAATGCATACTTGCGCAGACCCTGCGGCCAGCTGTGTGCCAGGGCGTCCATGCCAAGGGTGCCCTCGGTCAGGGAGTAAAACAACTGGCAGTGGGAATTGTCTGGAGAGGCAAACAGGTCTACCTGAGCATCTCCAAAGCATTCCCAAATCAGCTGAACTGACTGAACCACAGTGCTGTCCATATGGACCAGAACGTGCTTGTCCTTCAGCAGGCCCTTGAAGCGGTGCAGAGCAAGCCGTAATGCTAGCAACTCGAGGCAATTGACATGCCACTGAAGTCAGGGTCCCGTCCAGGAGCCTGACGCATCATGTCCGTTGCACATGGCACCCCAGCCCATGGCAGAGGCATCTGTTGACACAACAAGAGACAGCCTTTGTTCCAACCCTTCTTGAAGAAAGGAAAGCACTGACCCGATCTGGGATTTCCAGGGGTCTTCTCAACGTGAAGAACACCAAGTGACGAAGAGGTTCCACTTCAGAGCATAGGCATGTCTGGTAGATGAGGCCCTAGCCGAAGTGATGGTCGCTACCATCTGAGGTGGCAAGGTACCAAAACCTTCTGTGACCCATCCAGAACCCACACATGTAGGTTCCAAAGATCGGGACGTGGGTGCCAGAGGGTACCCCGTCTCTGAGAAAGAAGGTCCTTCCTCAGAGGGATTGGCCAGGGAGGGGCTGTCGCGAGGAGTACAAGTTCGGAGAACCAGGTCCGGCAGGGCCAATAAGGCGCAACCATGAAGACCTGCTCCTCGTCCTCCCTGATCTTGCACAACGTCTGTGCAAGAAGGCTCACTGGGGAAAATGCATACTTGCGCAGACCCTGCGGCCAGCTGTGTGCCAGGGCGTCCATGCCAAGGGTGCCCTCGGTCAGGGAGTAAAACAACTGGCAGTGGGAATTGTCTGGAGAGGCAAACAGGTCTACCTGAGCATCTCCAAAGCATTCCCAAATCAGCTGAACTGACTGAACCACAGTGCTGTCCATATGGACCAGAACGTGCTTGTCCTTCAGCAGGCCCTTGAAGCGGTGCAGAGCAAGCCGTAATGCTAGCAACTCGAGGCAATTGACATGCCACTGAAGTCAGGGTCCCGTCCAGGAGCCTGACGCATCATGTCCGTTGCACATGGCACCCCAGCCCGTGGCAGAGGCATCTGTTGACACAACAACATGCCTGGACACTGGTTCTAGGGGAACACCAGCCCGTAGAAACGAGAGGTTCAACCACGGGGTCATGGTTCGGCGGCAGGTTGGAGTGATGGTCACCGCTGCGGTTGCCATATGCCCCAGGAGCCTCTGAAATAGTTTCAGTGGAACCGCTCTCTTGCCTTTGAATTGACTCAGACAATTCAGCAGTGACTGTGCGCGCTCACTTGTAAAGCTGCATGAACATGGCGACCGAGTCTATTTCCATACCGAGAAAAGAGATCCTCTGCACAGGGGAGAGTTTGCTCTTCTCCCCGTAGACCCGAAGACCCAGACGGGTGAGGTGTCTGAGCACCAGATCCCTGTGCTCGCACAACTGTACTCGAGAGTGAGATAGAATAAGCCAGTCATCAAGGTAGTCCAGAGCTCCCTCCGCGACCTTCGTAAAGACGTGGGGAGACAGGGCCAACCCGAATGGGAGAACTTTGTACTGATATGCTTGCCCCTCGAAAGCAAACCGAAGAAACGGTATGTGTCGAGAAAGAATGGAGACATGAAAATACGCGTCCTTCAGGTCGATCGCTGCATACAATCCATGGTATGAATGCATTCGAAAATACGTTTGGGCATTAACATCTTGAACGGAAGTCTGTGAAGAGCTCGGTTCAAGGCACGCAAGTCTAGGATTGGCCGCAACCCACCTGTTTTCTTGGGTACTATAAAGTAGGGGCTGTAGAAGCCGGACTTAATGTCGGCTGGAGGGATCAGCTCTATCGCACCCTTTGCCAGTAGGGTCGCGACCTCCGTGCGCATGTGCGCTCTGAGGAGCATCCTTGCCCATCATCGTAGCGTAAATACCCCGAAACCTTGGGGGACGCCAGGCAAATTGAATCGGGTAGCTGAGCCTGATCATTTCGGATGAGCCAGTGGGACGGACTGGATAGCTGTAGCCAGGCTCCCAGAAACCGAACCAGCGGGGTCAAAAGAACTACAGGCATACCCACAGTGGGGCAGCGAGGCGGAACAGAAGGCCCCGACATGGGAGGCGTAGCGTCCCTTAGTGAGGGCGGAGTGCGAGACATGGAAAAGGGGGCGTGAAAAGGCAATGTGTTCTCGAGACGGCCCTGCCTGGAAACTGGTAAAGGAAGAGGGGGACGTGAGCTGCAAGGAATCACATCGCCCTATCACACGCCGTGGGGCCAGTGGCGGAACAAAAAGAGAATGAAAACAAAGGATTCTCCCCTGGCGCTCCTCCGGGGGAAGGAGTGGTCCTGCTACCATCTCCTGAAGAGCTGACTTCCTCAACTCGGGGTCGCCCATCTTAGGAAAACCGCTTGACCTGACGCTTGGCACGTTTAAGGGCAGAGACGGGCTGTGCCACCCTTCTGTGGCCATCTCCTTGCTGCTGCTGTGGCCGAGCGGGAGTGGAGGAGGCCGCAGGGGGACGCCCTCGGCGACGAGCAGGCTGAGGTGGCTGAGCCGGCAGCAGTGGGCTGCCAGGGCAGAATATGTTTTATGGCCTCAGGCTGCTTCTGGGCGGCAGAGAATTGCATTCATTGAGAATGACAAAACTCTCAACCGCGTTGCTGAAGAGGCCAGCCTGAGAGACCGGGGAGTTGAGGAGCCGAGTCCGATCAGACTCCCTCATGACTGCCTGGTTCAGCCATAGGTGGCGCTCCTGGACCACCAAAGTGGACATCACCTGACCCAAGGAGCGTGCCGTGACCTTCGTCGCCCAGAGGGCGAAGTCGGTAGCAGTGCGCGCCTCCTGCAAGACTTCCGGGTCAGCAATGCCCTTGTGCAGCTCTTTGAGCACCTTGGCCTGGTAGACCAGGAGGATGGCCATGGTGTGCAGGGCAGAAGCGGCCTGACCCGCAGCTCTGTAAGCCTTGGCCACAAGCGTGGATGAGAACTTACAGGTTTTGGACGGGAGCTTGGGACCACCATGCCAGGTGGAGGCGCTCTGAGAACACAATTGCATCGCAACCGAGTGCTCCATTGGGGGTATCCCCGCATACCCTCTGGCCGCCCCGCCATCAAGGGCAGTGAAGGTGGAGGTAGCACCAGAACGGTTTCGGGCAGTTAAAGGTGCCTTCCACAAACTGGTAACTTCCTGATGCACCTCCGAAAAGAAAGGAACTAGAGGGGGGCGCTGGCGATCAGCGCGTGCAGCCCCCAGGAACCAATCATCCAGCCTTGAGCATTCGGGACAGGATGGAGGATTCCACTCGAGCCCGATGCTCTCAGCTGCCCAGGAAAGCATGACCGTCAGCTCGGGATCAGACTCGGGCAACGCTGGCGTCCCAGAGGGAGTCAACGCAGCCGAATCCTCATCTCCCGAGGACTCAAGCCCGCCTTGTGCTGTGGCGATCGACATTTGGTCATCCTCCTGAGCCCCGAATGAGATGCTGGGATCCTGATGAGAGGGCCCAGCAAGCTCAACCTGAGGCTCCACAGGCTGCAGTGTTTGTGAGGGGGGTGCGGCCCGAAGAGGCTGTCTCGTCAGGGAAGCCCACACCGTAACCCTCAGATCACCCTGGCCACCAGCCAAAGTAGCCCTCTTACGGGAAGAGGAACTAGACTAGATCCCATTCATCAGTCTGTTCTGACGTAATGTCGAACGTGACCGACTGAAAGGGAACCTGCAATCTGCGGTCAGTTTATTTTTGTAGTTTGAGTTCAAGGCTTAGATCTTTGGTCTGTAAGCTAGTGCTATGTTTGACACAAACTAAATTCAGCTAACAGTAACATCCAGAATGCATGGTGGGAACTTGGTAATTAAGTTTACAATTGAGCAAGGTACCTTAACTCAAATTGCTCCAGAGGTTTTCCTTGGAAAAAATGCTTTGGATATGCTTTGGAAAAAATAATAATAAATAAATAAATCTGCCAAAGATAACTAATAACTAACACTGGTTTTGTTAGGTTCTGTGGCATTGTAGGTAAAGTTTAGGGCTTGTAACCACAAGGTGGCATATGTGTAAATGCATGAGAATGACTTATAATCATAAAAATGTTTCAAAGTATATGGCAAATCTAATGGCTTTTAGAATTCTCAGCCAGATCCCATACTAAAATTGCAAATCTATAGTGACATATCTAAATAATAATAATAATAATAATAATAATAATAATAATAAAATAAAGATTTGTTTTGTTTAAATACAATACAGATTACATTAAAGATTGTATTTTTTATAATAAAATATTATTTCAGTCTTTCCTACTTTAAAATTGTATGTTTAATTCAATGTTACTTGCCATTTCTATCTACATAGATTTCTGCATATTCCAGGTTATATTTTTGAATAATTTAAACATGTTTTCAAAGAAAATAACTGTCTTCATAACTTTTAATTAAAATGTAGTAAATAAATGGATTTTTCTGATAAAATACAATTTAAAATCCCATCCTACATTTATTTTTCTCTTTGAATATTCTGTTTCATCTGAGAATTTTGCATTATACAAGTAAACTGGTTTGCAAAATGATTTTTTTTTTTTACATAAACTTGAGTCATTCTCAAAGAAACTCCAAAAATTAAAATCCTTTATTTCTTAACCAGACTATGAGAGTTTGAGGATCGGAGGTTTGGCGTTTGCTGTGGTGCTGTTTGCTCTGGGAGTGCTCCTTATTCTCAGTAAGAAACATTTTTATTTATTTATTTTTTTTACTTACCTTCATTCAAGTCTAAATCTTGCAAACATTACTAAACATTAGTAAAACAAAAGAAATCAGAGTACAATAGATAAACTGAGTTGCCACACAATTGATATAAATTATACAGCAGTGCTTTTATTCAACTGAGCATGAGATTAAGTTTTATTATGAAATAGAGATACATGAATATACGTCAAACTCAGTGGCAGAGATATAAATGAAGACACTCTTGTTATCAACATTTCATGCAAGTTACAAGAATAACATATGTAAGGGATTATTATCCCTTATTATCCCGGTCATTATCACAATATAAAACCCGACAAGTCGTTTGTATGTTTTGCCATTCATCCGTTTGATCTAAATCGTTTTGCTTGTGTGCACCCTGCAGGCCGCAGATGCCACTGCAGCATCAACCAGAAGCCCAGGTTAGTCCTATACAGTCTCTCTGATTCTCTGTCATGTGTGGCATGCATGGGTTTATAACCATCGGTTATAATTTTCTTTATATTTTATATTTTCTCAGGGCTCCAGGAGGTGAAGAAGCTCAAGCAGAGAACCTCATGGTCTCCAAGGGTGAGATTCAGTACTGTCTCTTGTAATACACACTGGTCATCTTTAAGACAAATTTTAACTACTGTTCTTGTATTCTTCCTCATAAAGCCAAGGAGACTCCTAAAGCAGAGAACTGAAGCAGTCCAGGTACAGCGACTTTCCTTATGAAAGTGTGATTGTAGCATCAGACATGTCCAAAGTGCAGAAAGTTTGCTGTTACTATGTAACATCGGCTTTATTTCTTCTCAGTGTTGTTAAACGCATAGCCATGGCTGAACGACTTCACTGATGCTGCGGATGCTGACAGAGAACTGAAGCAGTCCAGGTACAGCGACTTTCCTTATGAAAGCGTGATTGTAGCATCAGACATGTCCAAAGTGCAGAAAGTTTGCTGTTACTATGTAACATCGGCTTTATTTCTTCTCAGTGTTGTTAAACGCATAGCCATGGCTGAACGACTTCACTGATGCTGCGGATGCTGATGATGATGAAGCTGATTCCAGACCATGGCTATGAGAGGAAAGAGAGGAGACAGAGATTTGTGTGGGGAGGCGATGGGCCAGTGTCTTGTACGTAGACCTCTAGTCCTGTCACGTGAATAGTAACCGTATCCGTCTTTCCGTCTGTACCCTTTTGCAATAGTCTGTCTTGAGTGAGTTGTTTTAGCAAAACTAGCCACTTTCTGCAGATCATTCTTAATGTGTTTGGCTCCTCTCCAACTGAACTTGTGTGTGTGGTTAAAAGGAACAGTTCATCCAAAAATGAATATTCTCATTTCGTTCCAAATCTGTATGCAGTTTTTTTTATTTTATTTTATTTTTTATGTTGAAAACAAAAAGAGACAATATTAAATATTCTTTATGTAGCCCTTATCATATAATGACAAAACCTAAAAAAAACACCATAGTTAAAATTTTTGGATGAACTGTCCCTTTAATAAAAAATTTAGTTTTAACGTCCAACAGTGAATAACTGTTGCTGTTATTGTTGGTGGAACCACTTGTTATTGTCATTTGTGCCGCACCTGCTGTTTTTTTTCCCTTGTAGATTGTATAGATTATATGCACACATATTTAAAGTATTTAATATAAGTATTGATTCATATGTGATGAAGAATATTTTAATATACAATTTACGCATGTGCGCGCACGTATGGATAGATCCTGTAGAGCTTGTACGAATGTGTGAGTGCATGTATGCCTACATTCAGGGCACCTCCTCCCGACAATCTTTCGATCATTGTACCCAGACCAAGCACAAAAACAACACAGTACCACCACTGTACCAGAGGGGGCGCTATACCACTGTCCTCTGATCAGCTGCAACACTGCCAGGCTCAAAGCCCCCATTCGAACCCTCAGTCTAAACGTCTGTGGCCTGAGAACGAGACCGCAGGAGCAGTTCACTTCACCATAGTGCCGCAAACCTGTGTCCTTTACCATTACAATCACATGTCTTCTGTAGCCTATGTATTAACTTTCTTAAATTAATAGTTCACCCAGAAATGTAAATGTTTTATCATCGCCTACTCACCCTCATGTCGTTAAAACTAAACAAACAAGATGGTTGTCATTGTTATGTGGAGCAGAAAATTAGATATTTTGCTGAATGTCCAAGCAGCTGTTTTCCATATAGTAAGACAAAGCATAAAGTATGCTAGCACATGTGCAGCCGAACTCCGTTTGCTAGTGTGTCACACAGGCCCTCAACATAACAAGGACGTTTCATCCTTTTCCAGTGTCTGTGATATTTCTATCTAGAAGTTATGAACAACAAAAATGTCAGTTGTTGTCTTTGAAAGTAGTTTATTTGTTGTTGTTGACTGTGAAACAATGGGCAAGGGCAGTGTACTGTTAAATCTACATTTCATGACACAATCACAGTAATATTTGAAAATATATATATATATATATATATGCAAATGGTAGGATGATTAATTTATTGTAATTATTAACCCCGGGGTCAGTGTGATCCAGACAATACAAATTTACAATAATAATAATAATAATATAACTTAAGAATTTTGTGGTAAATTTGGTCCAAGGACATAGTATGACATTAAGCATGTAAAAATCCACTGCATGCTTGAATTGCAATTAGGAACTTGGCAAACATTTATTTTACAGTATTTTGTATACCAGAGATTCTTACTTGTCAAGTTGGCATGTTGAGTAGCACTTTATAATGTTCATGTTTTAAGTTTTAAATGTTACTAGTCAATAAGTATGGGTAATTGTGGGTGGCGTGGTCTAGTAGTTAAATGTTAGATCAAGAAAGGAATGAGCAATAAGCCAAAACCACTGTGCCCTAGAGCAAAGCATTTCAGAAAAAGTTAACATCGTGGACCTGAAGTGTTTGTTTGTCTGACAAGATCTGCATGTAGAACTGAAAAGCAAACTGCACTGACTGAGGCTTTATGAGTTATTTTCTTTTCAAAGCAGCATGAGTTAATCATTACTTGTGAGATATGGATTAGGAAGGGAATCAATATAAGCACTATCCTTAAGAAAGCCGGGAGGAGCTGAAGTGAGAGGAAAGTCAGAGGATTTGCAAATAAACCTTTTTATGTATGTTTGCATGTATGTATGTATGCATTTATTTATTTAGTTAGTGGTTGTATGGCTCTTAATGTTCTTCAGATCAGTGATTTGGTTTCTGGGTTCTTTAAAGATTTTAATTGGAATCTTTTTTTTTTTTTTTTGCTTCTCATGCATCTTCTGATTTAGTATACAGATTAAACAAAAACAATAATTAGCATAAAATTGTATGCAGATTTTGACAGCATTATGAGGGTTAAATCCATTGCAAGAGTTCAGGGGCGTGTCCACAAGGGTGGCACGGGGTGATAACTGCCACCCTAAAAATGAGCTTGCCAACTTGCCACCCCAAAGCAGAGTTATGACATCGGAGTGCAGTGAGAGCAGAGTGAGGAGACGGGCACCGTACAGATCGGAGAACGTACAGATCACACAGAAACAAAAACTTATTGTCAACTCTGTCCTATGATATATCAATAAAGTTGCTTGGAAACATAAATGTTGTGGAAAAAAAAATATTTATTTTTAACTAATTAAAACTTCACTATTAGTAATCTTACTGTGCTTCTATCTGTACCCTATCTGACTTAATGACTGATAAAATAACTGATGAAAATGATTTTCATCCTTCCAAGCAAAATTTGTGCTGCAAAAAGCAAAAATGACAGATTTAACTTTTTAATGCTGACAAATAAGATTGGCAAATCATTTAATACGCACCTAACCTACTTAAAGAAAAGAAAATAATGACACAACACATTCATTTTTTTCTTAATATTATTATATCTGCTCAAAGGCTATTACGTTCTTACATTTTGCGGCAATCATTCAGTGAAAATCTTCTTTAATAAAATAAATAATCAAAAGTCTATTGGTTAAAAATAAACAAAGGAGAAAGTAGTTTTTTGTTTGTTTGTTTGTCTAACATTTGTTTAGCATTTTAAATGAGTTCACCCTTCGACATTGTCACAGAAATTCATATCCTATATAAAACGAATAGAGGAGGGAAACGTTCTGGGGTGCAGAACAGAAAAAGACACAAAAAAAAAGCATTAAACTGAGGACTCTTCAACTAGCCAAAATTTGCGGAAAATTGCCATTTTGAATTCAGAATAGGTCATTTGTGTGATTCATGTATGCGATGCATTTTTTTGAATAGAGGAGGGAAACGTTCTGGGGTGCAGAACAGAAAAAGACACAAAAAAAAAAGCATTAAACTGAGGACTCTTCAACTAGCCAAAATTTGCGGAAAATTGCCATTTTGAATTCAGAATAGGTCATTTGTGTGATTCATGTATGCGATGCATTTTTTGAAAACGTTTCATACTTCAGTTCAAAACAGTGCTGAACTTTGACAAAAAGTTTTTTTTTTTATGTTATATTAGTGATTTTCTAATGTCTAAATATAAATCCAAAAGCAAAACTTGAAGATAACTGTATTGGAAACAGTTTATTGATCCTCTGCAGCCATCTACCACTGGTAAATAAAAAGGTTATTCTTTAGAGTGAAGTTTTACATTTACTGTTCCAATTTTGTGTAAATATGTATAAAATATGCATATTTTTGAGGCAAAAAATAAAGAAAACCCCTCCAAAACTACTTAACTCAAATGTGAGTTAGGGAATAGAGTACAGGAAGGTGACAACACTGATCTTGCATAATCCTCAGCAAATGTACATGTGAGGCAGGCCTAGTGTCGCCCCTCATTCTGCTCCTGCCACCCCCCCCCCTTCCCCGCCACCCCAAAATATAAACTCAATAAAGAAAACCCCTCCAAAACTACTTAACTCAAATGTGAGTTAGGGAATAGAGTACAGGAAGGTGACAACACTGATCTTGCATAATCCTCAGCAAATGTACATGTGAGGCAGGCCTAGTGTCGCCCCTCATTCTGCTCCTGCCCCCCCCCCCCCTTCCCCGCCACCCCAAAATATAAACTCCTGGACACACCCCTGCAAGGTAGAGGGCACTTATGAAACAATGACGTAAATCAGGAAAGTGCATAAAAAAGTGGAACGCTTTCAAGTTTGGTGAGCGTTTACGAAATTCTGAGAAAAGGGCAGATTGCTTTTCAGCAGCAACAAATTCATGTGTACAGATATCCACTGTAATTATGACAGTAATA